ATATATATATTAGTTCAAATATGAACCTACAACTAGACACACTGAAATATGAAATAACAATATACACGAGACATAACATGAGACTAGGGTGATTCAAAGGTGGTTGTGGTGGCTTTTGGGGGTCCTAAAAGGTTGCGTCATGATGGGAAAGTGGAGTAAGTGGGTGGATGCGACAACGAAACAATAGGTCTTTGCTATCTTGGGTGGCAGCAAGGTGGTCGGGAGCTGGACATCAAGGAATACAGTGGGGGTTAAGGGGGTTCAGAGTGATGGCAGTGAAGGGGAGGGCTAGAACAACAATACAATGGCAATATCTTTGCTGTATTGTCGTGGCAGCACGTGGGATGGGGAAGAGCGATGGCTGGGAAGGCTGGGAAAAGCAGGGAGAGCAGTATGGTTGAAGAGGGGGCGGTCCTGGTGGCTGGAATAGCAGCAAGGCTGCTCGGGGAAGGGTCCTGGATGGCTGGAACAGTGATGGCAGCAAGTGGGAGAGCTAGAATTGCAGCGACAGCAGAGAGGGAGACTGGAACAGTGGTGGTGGTGGTGTTGGAGGGCTGGTACAGTAGGAAGCCGCAGGAAAACAGCTAAGGAGGGTTTTTTTCCAGGCAGTTGCAGGAGGTACGGCGGTAGCTGCAGCGGAGGGAAGGTTGCAGAGAAAATAAAAGTCTAAGATAGTCACCACCTTGAAACAGGATACTACCGAGCACCACTCGCTCTTGGATATATCTCTAGAAGGGGAAAATAGAGACCCCGATGGCTATCCCGACAGAAAATATGACAAAAACTAACTCTCCAAACCTAAATACAACACATATATAAGAAATGGTTAGAAAATAAGGAATGACAAAAGGAAACATGTTAAAATTGGAAAGAAATGAAAAGTAGTGTGGTTTGGTTTGGCTTTGTGCCGTTCGTGCTATCCGGGTGTGTCCGCTCCCGTAACGAGAGACACCCGCGTCACCTAGAGGTTTGTTTGGCTAGCAAATTGAGCGAGCAATAATGGAACAAATGTGTGACAAAATGTTATAAAAAAATTGTTGTTCATGAAGTTTTGATCTTTTGCCTTGCTTTTATGTGGCTATTACTTTGACAGTTATTTTTTCATAGATAATTTTCTGTCTCTCATTCTTCGTTCTCCTTTTTCTTTCTTAAAGGATTATCGAGAGATGCATCCAGAAGTGACCGTACTTGATCCTCCCGATGCCATACAACATCTTTATAATCGGCAGTCCATGCTTAAAGATGTTGCTGACATAAATTTATGTGATTCCTATGGTACTTTCTACATTATTCTAAACTCTATATAATTCCATATTCAGAATTTGCTAAGATCTAAATATGTTAAACACAACGATTTTGTTAGTTTATATATTTTATAGAACCCAGATTCAGGTGCTATGAATTGGTATTGATTGCAAAGTTGTTAATGTACTTGGCTAGGCTGTTTTGGTGTTCAATCCGGTGACGACCTTAGCATTAACACCTTAATTCTTCATCTCCTTTTATTAGGTTGGGTTAGGTTATGTTTTTTTATGAGGGAAGTCGAACAGTGGTTCTGCTATAAGATTAGCAAAGTTTCATGCATACTGTCTGAAGGATGGATATCATATGTTGCTCTTATACATTTTCAAAACAACTTCCTCTTGAGTTTCTAAATTATTCATAATTACAGGTAAAATTGGAGTTCCTAAACAACTAGTTATCACTAAAGACTCATCGAAAATACCTGAAGCAGTTTCTAAGGCCGAGCTAACTTTGCCTTTAGGTAATCATTTCCTATTCTCATGCTGCAAAGTCTTTGGAAAGGGTGTTTTTTAAGTTTACAAGCCGCAATTTTTTAGTTGCGTGATTATTACTGTTTAACTGAGAGTTTTCTTCAGTTATAGTCTTGGTTAAAGCTCTGAAAATTGCCTTCACCTAAGTTATGTTTTTGAACAGGAATAAATTTTCAAATCCTGTGTTTCTCGTGATTTGATAAGTCGTTAAGGTTTTATATACACATATTTATATTGAAATGAAGAGGTGTTGGATCTATTTCTTTTTCATCAGATTTTGATAAAATGGGGAGCTTTAGGATGAAGTCTTATGTTTTAATGGTGATCTTTTATGAGCTGTCGAGTAGCGATTGATATGATGCTCACAGATAAAGGTAATGATATCCATTCAAAACTGTTTTAGTAACATAGAGTGCACGTGCCCTCTTTGTTTGAGGAATTACTAGTCCCTATTATTCCTGAACCCTTGAATACTTGAATTCTTGTTCTCTGTGATTTACCAATTGGTTTGGAACTCTTTCTCAGCATTTAATAGTTATAATAATAATAATTTTTAAATAGGCATGCAATTCGCCAGTTTAGAAGGCTATGCAGTTGGATTTTCTTTTGTTCTTTGCATCAACAATGTGTTGTTTCTTGTTTGGTGCAGTAGCTAAGCCATTAGTGGTGGATGGGACTGCAAAGTCACATGAATTATCGCTTGCTTTTGATTCATTCTCCTTGTCAAAACTTGATCCTCCAATGCTTCTTCAGGAATTTGTTAATCACGGTATGAGTCGTGGACATTTTGTTTCTTCTTTCTTAACCCGTGACTGTTGAATTAAGATCCGGTTTTTGGCTCTATTGTAGGAGGCCTTCTTTTCAAGGTTTATATTGTGGGTGAAGCAATAAAAGTTGTTCGCCGATTCTCGCTTCCTGATGTTGACAAGTGCGAACTTCTGAAGAATGCTGGCGTCTATCGGTTTCCAAGGGTTTCTTGTGCTGCAGCTTCCGCAGATGACGCAAATTTGGATCCTGGCATTGCTGGTAGCGTCATTGACAATATTGTCTTAATTATTCTTTGAACTTTATTACTGGTTATTTTAGTGCAGTGCTGATGTCCCTTTTCTGAAGAATGTTGTGCAACTTGCACATCTCGAAGTAGAATTTTTTTGCGAAGTTTGGCAGGGCTCATTTGCTTTCTTTTGTGTAATATTGTGCTTTACTTTTTGAAAATGTAGAGCTTCCTCCACGACCTTTGCTAGAGAGGCTTTCTAGAGAGCTCCGCTGCCGTTTGGTATTTCTTTGTTCAATCTATTTTCTTGTACATGAATCTTTGTTTTGTTCTTATTTTTTTTATCATGACCATCCACAGGGCTTACGCTTGTTCAATATAGATATAATAAGAGAGCATGGGACTCGAGATCGATACTATGTTATTGATATCAACTATTTTCCTGGTTTGTATCGAGATCTTTTTTTTTTCATTATGTAATATGTTTGTCATAATGGCTTAGTTAATAATTAACATCGATGCTGATATTGAAATTTTTTGTTAACTTTGGCTATGTTTAGGCTTCGCCCTTGGCGATTAAGTAAGAAAACTTATTTCATCGAGCACCTTTGTAAATATGTTGGTTTGACTGTGCCCTAGAAAATTGGAAGTTTGATGAAAAAGCCTTTGATAGAAGTTTTGTGCTCAAGGGATGACTTCATCAATGGCTACTTTGATGATCATGTAGGCCCATGTGCAAGTTGTTAACTTGATAATGATTGGCTCTCATGCACAAATATTTAGAGCTTTGATGTATCATCCTCGTTTATTGCTGTTGGATCTAAACTATATTGAATAGATCCACAAGGAAAGCGGTTCTCTTTTAAAGTTTGAATCTAACTAAGGAGTGAGATCATGATACAACCTAAATAGAGGAGGCTTTAATTAACTTTTTTGAATAGTTAGGGGCATTGGGATGGAACAGATGGGTTGTTTGAGCAGCAAACCTACCTTGTTCCAATAGATAAATATCCAAATTTCTGCCTAATTTTGTTTACTTGGATCTTGTTCAACCTATACTAAAGCAGCTATTCTCTCTGTTTTTGGTGCTGTGAATCGCCTATATATATATATATATATATATAGATAGATAGATAGATAGATAGGCCATTTTTCTTCAACAATCTGATGACCAATGCGGTGAGATTCATAAAGTATGAGTTGTTAGTATAAATCTTAACTTGAATGTGAATTAAGGTGCTATCTAGGCTATGTTGTTGATTTGTTTAGAAAGACGCTTGGTTTAACAGTTTGTTATTTTTAGATTGTATATAGTTAAAAAAAATCACATGCCATCACAGAAGCTTATCCTTTTTCTTATTATTACTATTATTATTTTTTACACAAGCTTAACCTTTTAAAAGCATGAGGAAACATTTAAAAGGTTTCAACCTAATGGATTGTAAAAACTAATTTCCTTAAATGGTCCTTAATCTCATCGCTTCATTGTTCACCTCTAGTGCTTCATGACTTGTGTGTTATGTCTTGTCTTGCCCACTCTATTAGTCCAAGGAAAACTTAGAGAATTATGAAAAAGACGGATGTATGCATGACTAGTTGCAGCCATTTGTTTTTATTCTGTCTCCCATGGATTTTTTTGTTGTTGATCTTAATACTCTTTCACATGGTTTGCAGGATATGGGAAGATGCCTGGCTACGAGCATATATTTACAGACTTCCTTCTTAGTCTGGTTCAGACCAAGTACAAGAGACGATTGAGCAACACCTGAAGCTTCATCCATGCCATGACCAGAAAAAAAAGGCTCTAAGATTCTAATTGTTCGAGTTTAGTCTGAGTCTCAGCTGAGTTTCTTTTGTACATAAGCTCCTTCACTGCTATCCGGGGCTTTTAGATAGGGATCCAGTCTCTGGTAGATGAATGAAGCTCTTCCTAAGAAAATATCAACTTTAAATAACTTAATACAATTGTGATTTGTTTCTTTCTTTTCTTATTTTATTTTATTTTTATTGCCTTACAATCCATTTTCTAGAGGGTAGACAAGTAGCTTGTGTTGTGAGATATACCAGTTGTTGAGAGATATATATACCAGATGTTGTGATATATATATAAATCAAACAGGAGAACGATCGATGAAGCGAAAAATTAGAACGAGAAAATTCACACCAGAAAACAGCAATACATCGGAACACACAAATTTACTTTGTTTGGCAAATTGCCTATGTTTACGGAGTTGCAGAGGATTTTACTATTTGAGGAATTTGTATCAGTCGATCGTCTCGACTTATAAGAGGAATCTCTCACTTTGTTGCTCTCATTTTCTCTCTCTATTCTTTTTCTACATCGAGATACACCGAAGAACCTCTACACCAAGATACACCGAAGAAGATAAACTTACAAGAGAAATAAAACCAATTTCTCTTCTGCCACAAGCCACCAAGAATATGTCAAGGGAAAACAATCTACTTCTTCTTTCTTCTTCCTTCACTGCAAGGAACTTCTTCTTGCGCTTCTCTTCCACTCTCTCGTGGAAGTCCTTCCACTGTCCCGTGGAAGTCCGAAGAGGAACACCAAAAATTCGTGACTTAATTTGAAGGAGAACCGTGCTCTCTTAATTTTCTTCCTCTTATGTTTACAACTTAAAAGAGGCAAGGGGTGTCGTCGTTTTGCGAATCTTAGGCGGGAGCAGTTCGCGTAACCATAAGGACGCAGTTGTGACCTTTCACGATCGAAAGAGCAGTAGTGAGAAGCGTCGATTCACGACTTAGCTTCGCGTGAGCGCGGGAGTAGACGGAAAAGGTCGGGCTCCAGCTAACAAATCTTCTACTTGGAGGCCGATACACATGCTACAACATTTCCTTCTTCAAATTGATATGTACTGACGGCATCGCCTTTTTCTTCAAACATGAATCCTCCACCTCTGCAACTCAAAGCCTGTCTTCACTCCAGACGACCAACCGAAGCTGTACTCAACTTCAGTTTCTCAAGAGTAACACCCTCAGTCAACATATCAACATGGTCTACATAGTTTTGCACTTCCAAGCTATTTTCTGGATTACTCTTGTCTCTGCTTACAACTTCCACTGCATGAGCAATATCCTGTCTCTTCTAAAAGCTTTTTTTCAACAAGTCTAGTCTTGTACCTCTTACTTTCATCAAATACAGTCTTCACCTGGTACACCCACTTGTTGTATAATGTCTTCTTCTCTGGTGGAAGTTCTGTCAGCTCCCACTTGCTCGAACTTTCATCTTGCAAGATTTCTTCCTAGCTTTGTGGTTTTCCACCATCTGTCTGTGGAACAATAAGAATGGGTGTCCTAGACCCACTCATCCCTTCACTTCTATCATCAACAAAACTATGAACTGTCACCAATAGTACATCTTGTACTTCTTCAGATGCCACATTTGCGATATTATTCTTCATATTCTTGGGATTTATGCAGTTCCTCTTTATGTGACCAGCCTTGCCACAATTCCAGCAGGTTGCATGTTGATCGACTTTGATTTTGATCGCCTCTTTTTTGAGTTCCTGTCCTGTCATCTTCTTCTAAAATCAACATTCAGTGCCGAACTCGTACCTGAGATCTCGCCAGAATCTTTTTTGCGCACCTCCTCAGCCAAAATCAAATCACGAATATCATCACATTTCAATTTAGATTTACCTGCAAAACTACTAACTGCCATTCTCATGGCTTCCCAACCATTTGATAACGATGCCAAAAATATCAGTGCACGTATCTCATCATCAAAAATCAATCTCAACAGACGATAATTGATTTGTGATAGTAATGAAATCATTCAGGTGTTGAGCAACTGAAACACATTCCACTATCTTCAAATTGAATAACTTCTTCATTAAGTACACTTTGTTATTCGCCAATATATTTTCATACATACTTGATAAGACTGTCATGAGATCTGCAGTCGTCCTCTCATTGACGACGTTGTGTGCAATTGACCTCGGGGTCAATCGAATAACCCCAGAACTTGTCGATCCAACAAATTCCATTCAGCCTCATCCATCATTTCAGGTCTTTTCCCCAATAATGGACGATGAAGTTTCTTCCCACAGAGGTAGTCCTCTATCTGCATCCTTCAATAACCAACATCTGTGTCATCAAACTTCTTGATCCCTGAAACCTTCACTTCATCTGCAGTCATTATTTTTCTTAAGATCCGAACAAAGGCTTTGATACCAATTGCTGTGAGATATATCAGTTGTTGATAGATATATATACCAAATGTTGTGGTATACATATATTAATCAAACAGGAGAACGATCGACGAAGCGAAAAATTAGAACGAGAAAATTCAAACAAGAAAACAGTAACACAACGGAACACAAATTTACGTGGTTCGACAAATTGTCTATGTCCACGGAGTTGCAGCTGATTTTACTACTTGAGGAATTTACATCAGTCAATCGTCTCGACTTACAAGATGAATCTCTCACTTTGTTGCTCTCTCTTCTTCTCTCTTTGTTCTTCTCTCTCTACACCAAGATACACCGAAGAACCTCTATACCGAGATACACTGAAGAAGATAAACTTATAAGAGAAATAAAATCAATATCTCTTCTGTCACTGCTTGTTCTGCTTGTTGCAGACATGTAGCTTTAGCAGAATAAATTTCAAGGTATTATTCCCATTACTTTTTGTAAATGACAATATGGCCAATTTTTAAAATTTTTCAAGTTTGCATGGCAAAATTAAAAATGTTAACCATCCAATTTCTAGCGGAGTTGGGGCCGGCTCCAATAGATTTAGTGCGACTCAAAATTGACTTGGCTTGTTCGGCTCGAAATTGATTCGAACTTCATTCAACTCAAAATAGAATCAAGTTGGCTAAAATTGAGTTGTATGGATCTTATTCAACTCAGAATTGGCTTGATCCGGCTCAAAATTAGAACTAACTAGCTCAAATTAAGTTATTTTGATCAGTTCCCACTCGAAATTGGCTCGTTACAAGTTATATTTAATTTTTTTAAGTCTTATATATATAATTTTTATAAATGAAAAAATACTATGAACCGATCTCAGAGTCAATTCGAGCCAATCTATGTATGTCTCGAAATAGGCTTGAGAAAAACTCTAAAAGTTTCAGCGTTTCAGCTCCTTTATTTTGATACAATCTCGAATCTTTGAGCTAAATTCATAGCCATTGGCCATTAATTAAGACAATAAAAAGTTGGTTAAATATATTCGGTAAAAAATTATCTATGATGGATTTGGAACTCTTATAAGGCTTAATTGTTTAATTATGGACGTAACCCTATTTCTGTTGACCAAAATAAGGGACAGCGTAAGTTTAGTGAGGTGTCTCTGTTCAAAATAATCGGCTCAGCAAAGTATGTGCGTAATACTTTGATCGTGCATTAAGATTATTTAATTTATACTTATTTTTTTACTAGGTAAAGAGTAGGATAATGTTATAAAATATTTAATATTGATTAATTTCTCCAATCTTAGCTAATCGTTTCTACCCGCTCCACCCGGTGAGACCTCATGCGTAATTAAAGTCATAATCGTTGTTAAATTTTGTTAATTATTGGTTGATTGGTTAGCAATTTAAGTTTGAAAATTAAAATGTTCAAAGATTATGGGATTTAATACAAGTGATAGCATCTATTATACCTTTCTGAATATATAAAAACATAGCTCTATAATTTATCCACTCATTAGCGTTTAATAATGATTTAATTATGCCAAATAAAATTTTGTTTTTTATTTTAGATTTTTAAAAATATTAATGTAATGAAATGTTAGCTGCACAATTATAATCAACTGATATGATTGCAGTCTATTTAATTGAATTTTATTTAAACGTGTTATTTAAATTAAAAAAAAAAGAGGCATAATGCCGAAGATGACATAGCAAAGCTTTTGAATAAAAAATTAAAATGTTAATAAGATTTGGTAATTTCTGATGAGAAAAATAATTGTTTTTAATTATCTTCTGCGTATAAACGCAAATCAGGTTTGCATGATGCCAAGGGCAAACAGCATAATTTGTGCATGCGCTCCAAACGATAAAATTTACTTAATTTGATTTGATCAACCCAAACTTTAATTCTTATGTATTTATGTCTCTAAACGTTAAACTTCTATTTTTACGCACATATCACCTTCGTGGTATATGAAAAAAATTTCACTTCTTAAAAGTTAAAATTATAATATTTTTATATAATATGAAATATCATGGTCGACGGTGATGGGAGCCTCACATCTCTAGCCTGCATAACGACCTTCGCTGTCGAGGCAGACTCTGCAGCATTCTTTGACAACCAGTCATACTGGCATTCCTCCGACCTGACCAATTTATCATGACATTCCTACGACTCGCCTCCTCTCCCTCTAGGGGTCGAGGCACCCTCATTTTCATATGACAACGGCTACAAGAGGATCCTTGCATCTGCTCCCCCCAACTCCTTACCACTCGTCTTGGTCGAAAAGATTTGTTGGCCCTCAACATGCATGCCCGAACTAGACTCCAAGGCCTCTTCAACAACCAACTTTTCACATCATCAGATGAGTCAACACCGTTAACCAAGTCAGACGCGGGCCTCGCGAGGAGCATCTTCTCCAAATTAGACTCCTAACCTCTTGCTCGTTTGACATTGCCTTTCAAGTTCCCTTCAATTTCTATATTTACATTTTTGTTTCCATTTTCAAGCAATAGCCACATCATTCATTTGAAAACCTAACGCACGCCGAGAGGAAGTAAAGAGTCTCCCGCTCCGTACCCCACGCTTCCGGCCCTATATATTTCAACTCTCCCACTTCTCCTCGCCCTTCGCATTCCCCATTCCATTTTGCGATGACGACGACGACACGAACCCTTGCCGCTTCCTCCCGCACCACCGGCAGCTACCCCGTCGTCTTCCCTCGAGTCTGCTTCTCCTTCGCCGCATACTCCAAATCAATCATCAACCATCTCCGATCATGCGGCGTCCCCATCGCCGCAGGTCTCTCCGAAGACGAATTCGCCGCCATCGAATCCACTCATCACTTCCAGTTCCCCCCCGATCTCCGCTCCATCCTCCGCGAAGGCCTCCCAATCGGACCCGGATTCCCCAATTGGCGCTCCGCCTCTTCGAATCAGCTCCAGACCCTCCTCTCCCTCCCGATCTCCGGTCTAATTCATGAAATTTCCCGTCCCGGCGGCGATTTCTGGCCGTCGGCGTGGGGCACCAGACCGGAATCCCTAGCCCAATCAATCGCAAAGGCCCGATTCATTCTTTCCGGAGCGGCGCAATTGGTTCCGGTGTATCGCCAGTTCTACATCGCCGCCAACCCTAACATTGCCGGAAACCCCCTTTTCTATATCCGCGGCGGCTATGTACGCTGCTGCGGATTCGATCTCGCCGATTTCTATCGACGCGAGGAGGTATGTTTATCGCCGGCGACCGCGCCGGCGTGGACTGCGAAGGAGGCGAGGAAGGTTGAGGTGTGGTCGGAACTCGCCGACAGCGGCGGCGGGCAGAGAGGGGTGGAGGAGTTGATGGAGGAGTTGGGGAGAAGACTGAGGGAGGGAGGGTGGAGCGAGGAGGACGTGAGAGAGATGATCGGTGCGGGAGGATCGGACGGTTGCGATGAGGTGCGGGGAGATCGGAAGGTGGTGAGTGATCAGGAGGGGGTGATGTGGCACCTGCAGAGGCTTGCAGAGGTATTGCATCGTGCTGGATGGAGCGAAGAAGAAGTGATATATGTTATAGGAGATAGAGCTTAATCATAAATCTAGGCATTTTATTTTAATTAATAATTAATATTAATATTAATATTTAATTATCATATAAACCAACACTAATTCTATAACTCCAGGAAATGAGTGAAAGATTTTTTTATTTCACTTCCACTGGCTTGTTTATCTTTTTTGATATAACAAAATGAAAAATAAATATGCGTTTTGTGAAAAGAGAAAATATAAAAAATAGGAGTGTGAATAAAATAAACCCGAAGATTTTTGTATTTTGTTTATGAATTATTATTGTTTTCAGGTTTTTTATAAAGTCGGCCGAAGTATTATTTCGCTCGCGCATCGTGCACCCAAACACTTCCCCAAATAATTGTCGCTATTTGCGGCAGAGGTTTAGTATATAACATCCATTAATTATCATTATACAATCAAGTTGGGAATCTTCGAATTGAGCATCAACAATAGTTTGACTTTCATTCATACCAAACTGGGATTGTTTGGATTCGATTCATATTATATTTTATGTTCAAAGTTGAATGGGATCCAACGATTCTGAACGGGATATGTGTCGAAAGATTAATCTAGGTGAACCTTAAGAGCGGCCCAGAAACACACAGCAAATTATCTAGATGATTGAAAAAGTAGACAAATGACCCTTCATCTTAGGTGCAAGCGAAATGACGACTTTACGAGAAATGATTCAGCTATAGTAACAATAACCTTGACACTTAATGTTGCGAGATCTAGATATATATATAAATAAAAAAGGAGAACGATCGACGAAGCGAAAAATAGAACGAGAAAAATCACACCAGAAAAGAACACAGATTTATGTGGTTCGACAAATTGCGTACGTCTATGGAATTGCAGAGGATCTTACTACTTGAGGAATTTATATCAGTCGACCACCTCGACTTACAAGAGAAATCTCTCACTTCGTTGTTATCTGTTCCTCTCTCTACACCAAGCTACACCGAAATAATTCTACACCGAGATAAACGAAAGAAGATTAACTTACAAGAGAAATAAACTCAATTTCTCTTCTGCCACAAGCCACCAAGAAGAAGCCAAAGGAGAACAATCTTCTTCTTTCTTCTTCTTTCACCGCAAGGAACTACTTTTTGCACTTCTCTTTCTCTATCACGAGGAAACCCGAAGAACTCTTCCTTTATCCCTAGAAAGCCCGAAAAAGAGCTCAAAACGTGACTACTCGACTGAAGGACCCGTCCGAAGCCTTTTATCACAAACAGGAGGGAGCGAAGAGGTGCTTCGTTTCACAAAAGAGGAAGGCGGGAGCGGTTAGCGCCTACTGTTCCCGACTGGACGCTTCGCTTCGGGCGCGGGAGTGGGCAGAGGTGGGATTGCGAGTGCGCGCCCCTTCGCAATCGGAGGAGCGGGAGCGGGAGGGGGTCTGAACCGGGCTCCAGCATAACACTTAAGACGACTGACCAATGATCGAGAATCTCAAAGTCATTTTCAACATTTTATTATGTAATTTTTATTTACTATTAATATGAGAACAACAACATGTAAAGTAATATACAAGTGATAATTTTTGCATTATAGGATTCATTTTCACCCATAAAAATTAAATGGAAAATAGATCAAATTAAAACCTAAACCCTAAACAAAAAAAAAAATGTAAAATCCCTTGATTTGATTCAATTTTTTCAACTCTAACGTGGTACTTGTTTTCCTCTAATAGAACTTCAACATAGAAAGTATGTATGCTGAAGTATCTAAATTTCAAAGTTTGGAAAATGAATCCAACATGTTTGAATATTTTCTTTTTGCGATGTCAATTTCTTGTTTTCAAATATATGCGAAAATAGGATTACTGAATCACGACTTTTCGCTTCCTAATTTTTTCTATAAAATTGAAAGAATTAATAGCACCCCTTCACACTTGGATCAATTAGCTTTTGTTTTGGAAGCTAGTTTTAATGCACTGTTGTTTGGTCACCGTATACACCAGAATTATCAACATGAATCTCAAGGAGAACGATCGGCCGTCAATCTATTGCTAAGCATGAGCAGCAGCGTCTCTAAGCCTGAGATAGGACAAAACTCCGGAAATGATTCCCTATTTAGTAGCGGTAAGATCCGTCAATGGTAAGGTGCAAATCATCACGACAGCAAGTCTCGCCGAATACTCCGCATAGGAAGTGACAAGATCCGCGCGAGAGGGAAGATCCAATCGAGGCGACAAACTGACCAGGCGGACAATACACAAGTTCTGTAAAACTTGAGCCAAACAACAAGTGAGCCATGACCCACCCGCTGAAACATGTCGACCCATTAGTTGATCGACCAACCGAAGCAATAGATCTCGTGGAAATGATCGACTAGGCCTCTTGTCAAGACGGTCAACCATATTTAGGCCAACTGATTACCCCCTGGGGATTTCAGTCTGCGACCAACACAATCAGTCACCCGCCAACCAACAGTATTTACTTAAACAGATAAATCATTGTAAACTGATATTTTTTTACATTATGATTATCATTAATTGAAATTATACGCATTAATTCTATTAAGGATGGTTGTCATAACGGTTTTCACCTTCCTTAATTGTACTAATTAGACCCTTTAAAACAGGTGGTCCCAAGAGGAATAAAGGACATGCTCTTTCCTCTCTTTGTGAGAGGGAAAGTTCCGTGAGTTCTTACTCTCTCTCTTGCCTCTTTCAATTCTGACGCTCTGGGTGTGCTCGCAAAAAAAAAAAAAACAAATTAGTATCCAACATTTTGAAGAGTGGTGTGGTGATTGTGGAGCATGCCACAAAAGAGAAGTGGAAAAGAATACGAAGAAGAAACTTCCCAAAGAGAGAGCGCGCTCATGTAAACCAATAGAGATGATGCAAAAGTGGATGTCCGCGCACAGAGCTTACAAGCCCAAATGACCCTCATGATGGAACAATTCGAGGTCCTTTGGGTAGCAATCACCCAGAGGAACAACTAGACGCCTCGTCTAGAACTAGAACCTCATGGGCCTCATACCCAAAGGTCCCCCACCAGGGAACCCTTTACTTTGAACAACTAGGTCAGCAACCAACGAGCGAAGGGACAAGCCAAGTCCAAGCACAGAGACAAACAAACAATGAAAAAGAACAATTAAGGTAATGAAGGACTCAGCCGTTCGATGGTTGTTTGCCAATTGAAAGCATCCCAAGTTACTAAGAGTTTAAAATACTCTTCGTTTCACACTTCTCAAATGTACATAAGCTGTGGAAAGACTCAGACACCCTGATCGACCTCATTCAGGGAGAAAACGAGAGTCTGAGAGCCTACATCACCCACTTCTAGAACAAGATAATAAAAGTTAGAGATCCGAAGCCTGATATAACAAGAACAACTTTGGAATGAGGAGTCCGAAGCAAGCTGTTCGGGCGTTACCTAAACCTATTCAAACCTACTACTTTTGCAGAGGTAATGAAGATGGATAACGAGCATATACTCACCAAAAAAGACCTCCAAGGCTCCCCAAATGGTAAGCAAGAGTGGACTTACCATCCTTCGAAGAAGTGGAAGAACGGGGCGAACTACGAAAGGAGAATGAAAATCAGTCCTTCGCAGTCACCAAAACAACAACACTCGGTCTTGGGATAAGTATGGAAATAATTGAGGGCACCATGACCGAAAGTGACACACTGATCAACAATCGGCCTAATATTGCGAGTGACCTCATGTTTAGTAAGGAATAAAAGGTTTAACGCCCCTCAACATGTGAATGACTGAAATAATCAAGGCCATCCAAAATGAGACTATTTCAAACCGGCCCCACCACTAAAGGCATCCCAGGCCTTAAGATATCCAAAAAGGAACTGTCACTACTACCATGAACACTGTCATGACATGAAGGAATGTCGTCAACTCTAAAATTTGATTGACCATGAACTCGATATCCAGATCCAAAGGGAGGGAGGTCTTGAGATCAGTGAAGTCGTCCTCCAGATACCTGTCTCTAATGAAGAACCTGGTAAGATCTTCTTAATCAGTGAATATTTCGATGCAAGGTACAGGAACCAACTGGTACGGATGCTTCGGAAGCACCAGGAAGTGCTTGCTTGGACTTCAGCGTAGTTGCTCGACATTGCAATTGATGAAATGTGTCACCGATTAAACATCAACCCCTACTCTCGATTGGTGCAACAGAAAATCTGGTCGACTGCCATAACTTTGGCTGAAACCGATAACAGCGGATATGCAGAAGCTGCCGAATGCTCGCTACATCCGTGAAGTCCAGTGCTAAACCTAGATTTTGAACGTCGTAATGGTCAAGAAAGCCAGTGACAGGTGGTGGATGTGCATCGACTTCACCAACCTCAATGCTGCTTGCCCAAAGTACTCCTACCATTTGCCAAAGATCGACACCTTAGTGGACGTAGCGGTCAGATACTCGGTAATGAGTTTGCTCAACGCTTACTCCGATTACCACTAGATAAAGGACGTAGAAAAAATGACATTTATTACTGTACAAGACATATTTTGTTTTAATGTAATGTCCTTCGGGCTTAAGAACGTTGAGGCGACCTATTAGTGCCTCATGGACCTAACTTTTTCTAATAAAAAAAGAAAGAATGTTGATGTATAAGTTGACTCTAGTTTCGTGCCCCGAATGCGTACCAGAAAGTCTCAAGTAGGTGTTTTGAGCTATGAGATACTATGAATGAGTAGTGAGTCGTCCCGAGTTAGTCAAGTTGATACATTACGCACATGACATCAAAATTTGACGCCAACAAGGCTCTTTCCTCTCTTTAAGAGGGGAAAATTTTCGTATGTTCTTACTCTCTCTTGCCTCTCTCAATTCCGACTCTCGGGGCGTGTTCGCAAAAAGGACAGATTAAGATCCAACAATCTCATTCATTTTGACACTTCCATGTTTGGGGATTGTTCTCATAATTATGTACACACACACACACACACACGCACACACATAATATTAATAATGAAAATAAAAATAAGTTAAAGAAAAGTCCTGATATGTGAGATTTGTTGAGAATGATATAATCATGCTGATCTATACAAGATATGTGGGAAATGTGAGCTCATATAGAAGCAAGATCTTCCTGAAATAAATATATTTATGATGATAAAAGTGAGGACATGTGATGTCTAAATTATTCTCAAATATGACATGCAAAAATTAAAGTTTAGTGTTAGTTGATGGTCAATTCATCAAAAAAAATTGTGGGTGTGTGTTGATGATTCGTGACAAATTTGGCATGAATATTGCATTCCTCTTGGCGAGGCTCACAAGGGCAATCTAACACAAGCAAGGCTCATAAATGGGAAGCATATACAAGTTAGAAAGATTTACATACAAACCGCCTAATTAAAATTAGGCTTAGCCAATTGGAATGTATATTTTTCCATATGGGAGTTATTCCAATTGAGGAGATTATCGACATGATATGAAGAGAAATGTCTATCTATCTTCTTTAATTATTCAATGAAATCAATGATTCGTTATTGAAGTAGACATGCATATATTCTGATGGATTTGCATGATTTTTTTAGTAGAAATTTTTTTGATGTAGCGAGTGATAGGCTCTTTCAGCGTTCAAGAATTCTTATTTACAAAGTTCATGTCCTCTACACATAATAATCTAAGATTTCAATTCTTTCATGTTTCGACAGTAGCTTATTATTCCATGGAGCTAAACACTAAAAAAATGGAAGAAACAAGTTTTTCCACCACTACTCTATCATCTAAACTTCAGTTTTTACGCATATGTTATCTTATCTATGCATGAAATGGTGCTTTTACTTTAAAAAAAAAGATAAAATACTAATATATTTTTTTTTTGTGATGTGAAAGATTTGGGTGGTATAAACATAACAATTAAAGTTTAACTGAATATTGCTCTTCCTAAGAGCATCCTAATGCCATAAACATTCAAATTTTTGCAGCAAAATTTACCAAACTTTTTATCTGAAAACTTTTTAAATGCCAATCTTAAAGCATCTTGCAGATGACCAACCTTGTTGTGCAGCAATCATCAAGCAAAAGCTGCTTAACATCTCTCTACATCACACACCAGCCTCACAAAAATAAAACCGATCATTTTAATTTCTCATCAAATGATTAACCGGAATCATTAACTATAATATAATTTAATGAAAATGTCATCTATCAAACTTTGCATCATTACCTTCTCCTACAATATTTGGATGCATTATAAATTGGTTTTGGTGAATGGAATCTTCAATAAAATTGAGCAGTTGCTTGAGATAAGCATTCATATTATTTTTTTCTTATATAGAAATCATAAAAGTTGAATTCTGAAATATGCATGACTAAAGTATGGTATTGTTCACGTTGATGTACTCAATGATGACGTGCAGACATGAGATTGGATGATGAATGTTCATTAATTCGTTTTGTTGAATAGGGATAGATGAGGGTTTTGCCTAACTAAGGCAAGTTAAAGAATGATTGTTTGACTCATGTATGCATTGTTATGGCATGTTCGGAGCATCTTCATTCCAAATGCGAGTTTCGTGGGAGTTGTTTTGTCATATCAGTTGGCACTCTTAACAACTAATATTTTGTTGGTACTCGGCAGTCGGTACTCGAAAATTGAAACCCAACAATTAGTACTCGACATCTTGTACTATTCAGCTAGGCGTTTGGGAACTGACTAACGTAATAGGTCCATCAAATCATGTTGATATTTCTATAAGCCTCAGGTGGTCGTTTCTTCATACAGAAGAAAAAAAAAATGTTTGTTTCCACTTTTAATTCGTTTTATTTTTTAAGCAAATATGAACTTTTTTTAAGAATACTAAAAATAAAAAAATAAAATTATGTAAAAAGTATACTAAATAAATATGCTTTTAAAATATAAAAGTATAATTAAAATAAAAATAAAAATAAAAAGTGATTCCAAATAAACCTTTTTGGAATAATTTTGTTGGGTGATTCTTTTTATAAAAAGAAAGAATATTGAATTCCAAAATGTTTGTAGATTCATACCACCTAGGTAAGACCTGAAACAATAGAGCAATGTGAAAAAGAAAAATCAGGATAGATCGAGCTGGAGTAAATGAGTCTCTTCCTACCATATTGATAACATTGAAGATGACTGACCCTCAAGAATGTTGCAGAGGATGCTGAACAAAGATAAAAACAAAAAACTCGAGTTGATAGGAGTATGATATTGTTCTTGTTGATGTACCACATGATGTTGTGGAGACATGAGACCGACTGATGAAAATCCATTTGCCTTGTTGAACGAGGGGAGATTAGCTTTTTGATAAATTAAGTCGAAATAGATAAATGGTTGTGCTGCTAATTTATGCATCATTCCAACATTTTTGTAGGTCTTTATTCTCAATGCATGTTTAGTAAAGGTCATTTGTCGTATCATGATCGTTACTCAATAGCTAGTACACAACAATTGATCAATTTGACTATAACTTTGTTAAAATCGAAATCTGGATGAAATTTACACTTTCATGCCTTGAGATACATGCCAAATGATGAAAATTTATTGGCCGCATATCAATTCTTTTGGGAGATTAACAATTTAACATATATACAACACAGTTCGTACATTATATATTTAGTACCAAAATTTTTATATTTATTTATATAATATTTTATAGTCACAATCACATCAAACATGTGCAAAAAAGTGCAGTTCACTTTACATTTTATATAGTATAAAATATTTAGATGTTATTAAAATAAGTATTAAAGCTACATATTATATGCTTAAATATATAAAAATGAGTAGCAATTAATAAATCCCTCATAATATATGTTAGCGCACAACTCGTTTTTCATCAACAACTCTTGTTCCACTGGTTTACTAGTCCATGTTTGAATCGTTCGTTAAGTAAACGAGCTAAGCACAAACAAATCTTTTAAGATAGAATTATATAAGATTCGAACACACACAATAATTTATTTGATCATGTTCAACTCGTTTTAGTTCGAAATAAAGAAATTATATATATTATTAATATAATAAGATATTATATATATTTATATCTAAATTTAAATCATCATAGCCCGAGTGTTCATGTAATTCTACGTCTATTATTACATAAGAGTGGTATAGATTCAAATTCAACACAAAACATGCAAATCAAGCCTTAAAGCACACTTTTTCCTAGCAATTTCGAATAAAACGAACTCTAGCCTGAGCCTGAGCTCACTTAAGCCCAGACTGATTACACAGCCCGAGTTCCTGTATCTGAAAAAGTGTTATTCTACACTTGCATTTGCTTGCTTCAATAGAATTTGATCTTCGTTCTCCGTTTATTTTTTTGTAAATACTGTATAACAAGTATTCCAAAACCCTAACAGGCAAAAGCTTGATGCGTACCCACCACCATAATTGAAGTAGACCGGTAGCCCATCTCATGACGCGAAGGGGAAACTATCCAATCTAACTATTTTTTTAAAAATTTCCTGCAATGCACGGTATTTCTCAATCCCGGCTCTCATTCTCCCATAACCTTGTCAAATTTTCTCTTTTGAATTACAAGTTGCGATTTTTAAAATTTCTGCATGAAGAAGTTGCTCTCGGTTCTCTGTCTCAAGCGGCGGCCGAGAAAATCCAACCAAACAACCCTTATCAGTCCTGATCTCAAGGTAGAAGACATTCTCTTTGATCCATTCTTGCATTTTTTGTTCTGCCGATTTTGTGTTTTTTGTTGATTCTTCTATCAATTTCTCTTGTAGCCAACCGGAGAATCCATGTCTGAGCCTCAGAGTAGCAGCGTCTATGCAGAGGGCCATGAGGTACCATGATTTATTTAGATTTCACAACTTTGATTCCCTTTATTTATTTTTTTTATTTTCCTTGGATTTGGATATGCCTAGGTCTTTTGGCTTTGGTGAATATGCATTGATATTTCTGCTTTTAGATGTTTCTGTTTAGATAGAGATGAATGTTGTTTGATTTATCAAATTTAATGGTTTGTGTTTGAAAAAACACGGAATTCTGTGAAATAGGATGGCGAAGTGTTTTGAAGGATATCCCATCGAATGCGGTCTTAAGACATAGATATGAAATTGTGAAACCTCTGTAATTCAGTTCAACTTGTTATGTGGTTGTTTGGTTTCAAGATTTAGCCAAGATTTAGTGAGGTTCAGGTTTAATCTTGTTGAATAATTTCTCAAGCAACATCAGTCTTTGTAGTTTTTAAATATTGTTTACACCCAGTTTAGGTCAAATACCATGTTTAGGAAATCCGGAAGGAAGTAGAGTTTAAGAGATATACATCTTAAATCCTATATCTTTAAAATACGTGCCTTTATTATGCCAAACAAAATTTCAATTTAAAACCTTCAAGCTTTAGTAAATTCCACTTGGTTTGAAGCCCACTTGTAGCCAAACAGTTCGTATAATTAAAAGGGAAAAAAGGGGGTTTTTTTCTGAGATTTTAGCAATATTTGTCTCTTTTTTAGGTTTCATCAATACTTGCTCTGAAATGATATATTTGTATTGTATATATTGTATTTGACACTCAATAGAATGCAATGGAGAAAAATGATTCATGTAGCTGACCCCACTAGTGGGATAAAGGCTTGTTGTTGTTGTTGGTGTTGTATATGCACATGAGTGGGATATAAATTTTACAGCTTGTATTGTCCATACTTCATATCATTCATTAGGGAAATTTATATACCTAGCACACAATTCTTATGTATTTACATATCTCACACCTAAACTTTTATATTTACATACATAGCACTTTGGTGCTTTAAACCTATGTATGAAAAGATATATTTCACAATTAAAAAGTGGCGATAGTGCTATTTTTGATGTGATTTTAAAGATGTGAGTGCTATGTGTGTAAATATGAAAGTTTTGTGCGAGATATGTAAATACATTAGAATTGTGTGCCATGTATGTAAATGCCCATATTCATTATTGATTAGATAACAAAATACTTTTCTTGAAATGATTTTTTTTTTCTTGAAAATATCTTTCATCCATTTAGTTGCTTCCTGAAGTTATTCATCAATTTTAAATGCTTTGTGCCAATATATTGTGGCAGAGAGCAAAAATAATGGTTGATTCAAATGTTAACCAGACATCCAACATCATCTTTAATCACGACTTTTCTGACGGGCTAAATTGTTGGCACGCCAATTGTTGCCATGCTATGTAGCTTCTAAAGAATTAGGAGACAGTTACAGTGTCATCACCAATCGCACTGACTGCTGGCAAGGCTTGGAGCAGGACATTACTGGGAGAATTTCTATTGATACAAAATATGATGTTTCAGCTTTTGTTCGTGTGGATGGGGATCTACAGGGGTCCTATGGAGTACAGGCAACACTTAGATTAGAGAATTCAGGTTCTGATATTAGCTATTTATTTGTTGGAAGGTATAATTTGAAGATTTTTTTTTTGAAATAGTGGAGTGGTTTGGAATTTCTGATGACGAAAAATGTTCGTGACAGAAAATCGGTCACAAGAGAAGGTTGGGAGAAGCTGGAAGGATCTTTTACACTGACAAGCTTGCCGAGCCGCGCTATCTTTTATTTAGAAGGCCCTCCTGCTGGATTGGACATACTTGTAAACTCTGTAAATATTTACCCCGCCCGGTCAGAGCAATCTGTGGTTTGTGCTTTTCATTGTTTTTTCTCTTCTGTTCACTTTCAAGCTCATTGTTTTATTCTCATCTGCTCACTTCTTGACATGGTGCTCTTGGATTTCTCTGACTGAAATAGTTCCTTATGCGAATTGTTCAGAGTAATTTATGTAATGACTGCTTTTTTACTTTTTAACTGGTACTTGTTAGAAATAACTGCATTTGTATCGCAAAATTTGGTTTTGAAGAAATTCGGGAAATAAGCTTTGTGTTAGATATGAATAGTTTTTGTCCCAAGAATCTGAGGGTGATCACTTCGATCTGTGTCTGGATATGTAACGCTACCTATGGTCCTGAAGAAATCCTGGAAGTGAACTGTGTTAGGTATGAATAGTTTGTCCCAACTTTCAAGAAGGTGAGGGTGACTGTATTGCTACAATTTTATTAAATCCTGGTCTAAATCTTATGTGAATTGAGTCTGTAGGTGCACTTGGGTTGAGGCCGAGCTTTTTGATATTTAACTATTTTAAATTTCTCTAAAAGAAAGTTTCTTAAATGCATTGTGATTTGTATTACTCCCTTATCTTTATCATCTATCGCCTTATATTTTATTGATGTCTGGGCATATGAATCATTCTACTCCATCTATTTCTACAGTGTTTCATGTGGTTTTAGTTTTGCTTTATGCTAGTTTTTTCCCTTCTAGAGAAGTTATATTTGTATTATTAGTTTTTGGGTAAAGTGTCAAAATAGTCCCTTGGCTGTTTACATGGGGCCATTTTAGTACTGAAGTCTATAGAAGTGCCACATCAGTCCTCCGACTCTTTAAGCTGTGGTTGAAATAGACTTCTGTTTGGACTATTTCAACGAGTATTAAAAGAGTATGAGGACTAAATTGACACTTTTATAGACACTGTAACTAAAATAAACCCCGGAAAAAAGTCAGGAGACTATTTTCATACTTCTCTCATTATTTTTGCTTCCCATTCTTTTAGATTGATACTTTTTACTCTTTTTATATTTTGCTCACTAAGCATGCTTAAATTTCTCAAGACAATTTTCTACAGCTTTGTTTCTCAGTAAGTACTAGCCCACAAACTTTCTATGACGTACGGTATACACGTGTGATGAATTATGCGACTTAATGTTGCAAAAACCAAAATATTATCTGAATGCCACTTCCAGCACGTTAATTAGCCCATCTACTTAACATGGACACACACACACACACACCCAAAAATTGGAAATAAAGGGAAAATTCATTGAAGTTTCTTACCCTCATGTAAAAACTTGGTTGTTTTTTTTAGAGATCTGGCATTGTTTTCTACAAGGGATTTTAATGTTTTTTTTTCCCCCTAGGAATGCATCTACCATATACATCAGCATTATAGATGACTTTATATTCTTATTAAATTGGCTTTAACTATCTTTTTCCTTTAACAACTAATGTGCTTTAACATTCACCGCTAAGTTAAAGGAATATGAGTGTTATTATTCTGTAGCATTGATGGAGCATAAATTTAAAATATGAAGCCAGTTTGAGTGCATATCATGCTGCATTAGCAATGCATTTTAAACCTCCTTTATTTAGTTTATTTTCTTTCTTTCATTTCTTCAAAATTATATAGGATATTTACTTTTTTATTTTTAACAAAGCAGACAAGAAGATGCATCCCTACTGCAGATGGAAGCATCATACGAAACTCTTTCTTTGAGGATGGCTTGAATAATTGGTCTGGTAGAGGGTGCAAAATACTATTACATGAATCTATGGGGAATGGGAAGATACTTCCATTACATGGAAGCCATTTTGCTTCTGCGAGCAGCCGTACTCAATGCTGGAATGGCATCCAGCAGGATATTACTAATAGAGTGATTCGAAAATTGGCATATGATGTGACTGCTGTTGTTCGTATTTTCGGAACTGCTAGCACTACCAAAGTTTTGGCTAGTTTGTGGGTTAAAGGAACCAATGGCCGCGAACAATACATAAGCATTGGGAAGTGAGTTCCATATATTATTCCATAAACTTGAAATGTGTTATATCATACTATGCTATTGTATTTTTTTAATGTGATTGTTTTGACATTTTTTTTTTTGTTTTCTATGATCTGGCATTGTTGTTTTGCTATCAGAATTCAAGCATCAGATAAAGATTGGTCGAAGTTGCAAGGAAAATTTCTATTGAATGGTCATGCTTCAAATGTTGTAATCTTTCTTGAAGGGCCTCCATTGGGTACCGATATCCTTGTAAATAGTTTAGTTGTAAAACGCACTGAAAAGCTTCCTCCTTCCTCACCACTTTTGTTTGAAGTAAGTATTAAAGCATACAGCACCGGTAGAAGTAGTGAGATTTTGAAAATGACAATGTGCATCTCTTCCTGCCAGTTTTATAATTGTTATCCTGATTCTGGAAAATGATAAGTAAATTGCTACTAAAACTCTACCAGTTTTGCCGTTTAAGTGTTATTTCAATTGCTGTATTTATAGCATAAAAATTAGGATTTACTACAAAATGTCATTAAATAAAGAAACTCTGTATGCATGCTTTACAAACTTTTGATATATGTATGCCTATAAGCAAAATATGTGCAAGCACCTTGATGCATGTAATGTACATTACATTTCCTTAAGTCTGTAGGATGAAATTCTAAAACTTGAATCACTTCGAGCCTATTGGATCATATATTATTCTTCTTGTGAATGAAAAAGGCTAATAATATTATTTGAAGCAAAAAATGCACTGGACATTAAACACATAAAAAATGTGACTTTGCAAACTCTGCAGCCTTTCTCACAATTGTACAAAATATTGCATGTCATATAACTATGAAATTAGCTTATCAACACATGCTCTTTTTGCTGGTAAAATCTCAGAAACTTTTTATGCCTTAAATCTTTAAGAACAATGGAGATTTCAAAGATTATGGTAATGCCAAAAATTAAACTCATCAGTCATACTTCAAAGTCATGAAATTTTTTAATGGTATATACATTTATATAATCTTGTTGCTATCCAATAATCATTGAGAAAAGATCTATTATGAAAACAGTTTTTTATGCTAAATAAAATATTAAAGAAATGTTATTACATGCTAAGCCGAGTTGGTAGAGAGATTTTGTTTTATTAGCTATAAATGAAATCTTACACAATAAAAAAAAGTAGAGTTAGTTTGAGCCACATGTTATTTTATATTGAAAACTTATAAAAGAAAAAAATCATGGGCCTTATCCTGTTGAAACATTTCCATTAGCGAACACAGAGAAGTCATCAATACAACTTATAACATAGGTGAAATTAAAATGGTACTATATCCACAGTGTTAGTGACATAACACAGTTGAGTATTGGGACACTACTCTCACAGGAAAAGGTAGTACATCTAGAAAGCATAGAATAAACTAGCATGTAAATGCTAGGAGTACCACTATTGATTGCCGGAATGGTTCTTCTTTTGGAGCTGGAGATTATATGATCTGAAGTTGGCATGCGAGCAGTGTAGAGAGTTTATATTGGCCGCTAAGAATGGTTAGATCGATCTTTTCCTAGAGTTGGAGATTGCTTGACTTGGAGTCTGTGATATTGCTTGACTTGGAGTCTGTGATAGAGTGGCATAAGAAAGCCTTGGAGGCCATTGACAGTTGTTAGATTGCTCCTCCCTATAGAAATAACAAAATTTGTTTACGAAGTAACTTGGGAAGAGGGAATTGAATTTTTAGAACTTGGCGGTTGACAAGGAGTCAATAGACGATTGGTGGAAATCATTATAGCTCTCTTTCTAATAGAAGAAGAAACTTAGTGTTTGATTTTGTGGTAGTTAGGATGCAATCAGGAGTGAACAAGTGGCTTGGGTCGACAAACGACATAGTGCCGGCATGTGATATAAGTTTTTTGATGATTTGAGCAGTTGTGCAACATAAAGTTTAAAGAGGAATGGAATTGGTGGGTCAGGATAGTCATCTTGAAAGGATGATATATTAATAAATGGAACCGACATGTGAGCTGTAGTTGGTGGGTGACCTTGAGCTAGCATATGATTTGAGTTGTATTCACAAGAAACCAGAGTTATGTTGTAGCCTAATGTTGGTGGTTGAAATGAATTTGCCTATGCATAACTATAAATTGTCAGGATGGCCATACTCTACATGAAAAGGTTCTCAGGATGGCTATCAGGGAAACCAAAGAAATTGGCTGGCACTCTAGATGGCAGTCGAAACTTTGAAATTTTTTATGATTTTGAGACATTTGCCTTAGTTATCATCTTCAATGTGTGGAATCAAGCTTTAGTTTTGAATTTTTTTGGAGTGATTTTATTCCATATCAAGAATTTTACTGCATATTTCCTAGTTCTTATTGACAGTCGACATAGCTAATTATGCTAATTATGCTTTTGTTTAATCAACCATGATTTGACGACCTTTGGGATGAACTGATTGAGCTCATTTGACCAACTCTAGGTTGATTGTTAACTTTAGTTGCCCATTGGCTGAAAGTTACTAGCTAACTCTTAGTAGCTTGCTAACTCTCAAATGTTTATTGACTAGATGTTAGTCTCAGTTGCAAATCCTCGCCTTCCTTCAAGATTGTCTCCACTAACTTTAGTTGCCAATAGACTTCGTGTTACTTAGTCTCTCCATTCAGGAGAATGGTTATATTTATTTTTCTAGTTACTCGTCCACTCCATATCACCCATAAAGTATTATCGCCAATTGACTCAAGTCACTTATAATGCTCTTAGACATTTAATTCCCCATTTTTTTAGGTGAGGTCCTAATCTAACTACTTGTAATGGCCTAACAATTTGTTCATGCCACTCCATCATTGCCTTCAAGTTGTCTCATCTTTATCTCAACTGACTGTGTCATTCAACATCTTCTAAAGGCCTTCATGACCTTCATGTGCCACTTTGCCATTGCCTTCAAGTTCTGCTATTTGCTCACATCTAAGAGAGGATTGATCCATCCATTCTTAACATACATCAGGAGCTTGCACCACCTCATATATCGCCTTTAGGTAGTATCATCTCTACCACTAAAAAAAGGAATGCAACAACCATGCACAGTGGCCCCCGACATTTCAATGCCATCCATTGGTTGCTTTCATGTTGTACTATCTCTACTTCCTAGTTGACTATCCTATTGCTTGACCTAATCACATCTCTAACATTATGGATATTATCATGATTTTAGTTTTACTTGTATCGTATTGATGTCTTTTCCATGTTTGAGGAACGATAACCTATAATAAACTTATACCTATTTCTAATGGAAGTCATTTCCATTGGACAAGGCTGATAATTTTACCTTTTTCTCAGGTAGTCAATGTAAAATATTATGTTCTTTACCTGTTTTACTTTCCTGATTATGTGTGTGGGATGACCTTTGTGTTAAATGAGATCAAACTTTCTTTTTATCATTTTGTCTTCTCAGAAATCACACTTTAAATAAAAGTTGTGATTTTTAGATACCTATGGCCTATTGTTCAAAGTGATGGTGATTTAGATAGAATGTTATTAGTAGAATTCAGGCTGGTTGGTTGAAGTGGAGGAATGCATTAGGTCTATTGTGTGATAGAAAAGTACTGCTTAGACTTAAAGGATAATTTTATAAGATGGTGGTGAGACCTCTAATGTTTTATGACGCGGAATGTTGCCCTTTAAAAGAAAAGTATAAAACAAAGTTAAGTGTTGCTCAAATGAGAATTCTTGGTGGATGTGTGGCTTGACACTTTGAGACAGAATGCAAAATGAATCTATCCGTGAAAGGGTTGGTGTAGCTCCAGTTGTAGAGAAGATTCAAGAGAGACATCTTAGATGGTGTTCACATTAAACGTCGACCATCTAATTATCCAATTAGGAGAGTAGATGTTTTAGATTCAATTTATCTTAAGAAAGGCACAGGTAAAACTAAAAAGACTTGGGCATGTTGCATAAAAAATAATCTTAATCTATTAGAACTAAATGAAAATACTATACTCAATAGGACACAATGGAGAAAACATATTCATGTAGCCAACCCACTGTTGACCTCATTTTGAGGTCATTTCTCCTCTCCTTAGATCCTAGGATCTAGCTCTAAAGTTTCCTATCGACTATCTTAGAAGACTAGAGCTGGGACCCCACCCTTTTAGAAATTTGAACAACTTCCTGATTCTCTTGTGGTGCCTCGTCTGGGTGGTCTCAAACCATCATCATTTGGTCGAGTTGTTAAGGACTAGCATGTGGAAAATCAAAGAGAGTTTTCAATAGGATCTCAAGCCCTAGGAAAACCCCTTTAAGACTTTATCAACACACTCACACACACAAAATACACAAAATCCACTAAGTTGCGCAAATTCAGACTAAAATTAAACTTAAACAGGGTGAAAAATGTGAACTTGTCTGAATGACCCCAGATGACTAAATGGACTGCGCCGCTCGACCGAACTGCTCGCCAGTCGCGAGCTGCCCCCTGTCCGACCCTTCTCCCCTACGCCGCATTTCCTCCTCCCTAAATGCGATATTTTCTCTCCCGATACCTCATTCGACCATCTCACCGTGGTAGGTAAGTCATTTTTCTCTCCCTTCATGCTTACATGATATTACACTTATGTTTTTTTTTTGGAAATAATTGGTACTCAAACATCTAGAAATGAAAAATGTGAGCATGTTCTAGGAGTTAGACTTGATTAGTTCTAGGAGTTAGACTTGATTACTTGCTTAAAGTGGTGAAGCTATGACATGTTTTTATTTATTGTAGCATATTTCTATTGGAAGCATTTAGGAGGGTTGAAACATGGTTTTGAGACAATGTTAGCTCCTCTTGCAAGCATGTTAGGATATGTATCATGAAGCTTTTCATTTATTCTTATCTAGCATGAGACATTGGAAGACTTATTTGGTCTTTCACGCATGTGGGGCTCGGTTTTAGCTCCTGTGGTTGCGCCATTTGTTCGAAATCTATATGGAGTATGAAAAGATTTATTTTTGGATGTCTCTTGAAGTTTATCTTGAAGGCTTGGTGTTTTATTTATCACTGCACTTTCTCATTCAAGTATTGGTTCAGAAAAGGAATTTTTGGAGGCCTTGAAATGTTAGCTTTGAGATTTATGCATACTTCTTTACTTCATACTATCTTGTTCATATAAAATACATGCTGAGGGGGAGTTGTTTTAGCCATTGAATGGCTCGGTTTTGGCCCTCGTTGGGTTCGGTTTTGGTCTCTTGTGACTTTACTTGCTCGAAACATATGCTATGAAAAAAAAAGGAATTTTTTTAATTTGGAGGGTCCTATAAATTGTTTTGGTGGCTTGTTTTAACCCCTCATGAGGCATCC